AAAATGAAAACTTGATTATCTATTTGTAAAACTGGAAAAAATATATAAGTTCATCTGATACTGCTATTTTTGTTAATCTCAGGAAATGAAATAATACACTGAATTTACTAAGATTCTGCTCTGCTTGGCAAGCCTCTTGCATGTCTCATGGTAATGCTAGCCGGGCGATCTGATCTCTGTAACAGAAGCAGGAAGTAGAGAAACCTTTTTCAGCCCTAAATGAAGCTTCACTTCAGAACTTGAAATCTCTGCTTGAGCCAATCAAAATACATAATTTTTAAGAATTCTTTTCCGTTTCTTTAAGGACTCTTAGACTGAAATATTTTTCATTTTCTTTGTTTCTTTTCAGAGGAACATCTTCCCTTTGCTGTGAAATTTTCTCACATTCTAAAAAAATTTATTTCAGTTTTAGTTGTCCAAGGAGTCATGATTCCCAACTTCCTTTTAAGACAGTGGATGGCCCAGATTTTTTTAATTGTTTTGAAATATGCAGACTTCCTATTATTTGAATTTTGTTAGCCATTTTTGGCTTAAAAATTTTTTTAGAACAGAAAAGTATAGAAAGTAATAAAGGAAAATCCATAATTTCCCTAGAACTCCTCTCTTAGCTTTCAGACAGCTCATTTTTTATATGCTTTGAAGGGCTTCATATTTGTATTATGATTATGAACAATACTTCCAAGAATCTAAATAGTTATAGAGCTTGTATTTTTAAGGAAAATTGTTGCTGGCCAGCCTTGTTTATGTTTTAATAGTATGCTGCTAAAAACACGTAAGAAGGGCAAATATAAATATATTTAGTCTTATGCATTTTGACAGATTTAATTTTATACAGCCAATGCAGTATTTGTTTTAGCTTTTAACGCTGATACCTACCAAACTTGTAATATATCACAGCACAGCATATTCAAATGATTTTTAGCAGAAGATTGGCCGGGGCCAGGGGTGGGGCAGGATAAGCATTTTCTTAATGTTTGACCTTTACCACCTTCTTAATTATATACTAGGAGACTATAAAATGTACCCACGACATTGGCATACAGGGATTATTATTTAAGAATACTCTAATTTTATTTTGTTATTTAATTTTTCTTCCTCAGCAGTTTTAAGTGTAGAACATAAATTGGAAAATGGGAGTTTAAAAAGCAAAATACAGAATTGATTTCAAATGTATTTTCATTTTTTGTTTATGCTTTACATGCTGCATGCAGACATTCTCATGCATAATGAGAACAAAGGATTTGAAAAAGCATTCACTTAAATCTTCCTCTTTTTTTCATTTTTGGAACAGTAATTCTGTTTATTATTTCATACTGTTGAGACTAAAAGCAATCAGAATAACTCATCAACAGAAAATATTTAGAGGTCACTTTTTAAAATATCTAAATGCTCAATTAAATTGTTCTGCAACTTGCAATCAGTTTTTTGGGTTTTTTTTGTTTGTTTGTTGTTGTTTTTTGTTTTTTTTTTTTCCTTTTGAAAATCAGTTCTGTGTTGTATCTCTTCTAAATCTCTAAATTGAGGACTGTAGCAAGGTTCTGGGGAAAACATTTTATTACCTTTTCTAATCATTTTCCTTTCATGATATTTTTGTGCAGTCACCCTAATAAATGGTATAGAGTTATCTTAAATAAGAGAAATTCCACTTACATTCTAAAATGATTGTTGAATTGTTTCATGTCTTGTTCTTTTAGTACAGCCAGCTCTACACTCCAAAATCATACTGTAAGTTATTAATTTAGCTTCCCTGAAAGTTTTAAATCAACAGGAAAAAAAAAAAGAGAAGCAATTTTAACTTCTTTTAGAAAATGCTCTGTGTTATAACTGAATTGACTCTGAAAATTGTCTTTAAGAAATCTCCCACACCCTTTCCCTTGGGATGAAAGAGGACTGCTAAAAATACTGTCTCTTTTAATCATGTTAAAAGGAAATATTGCCTTCCTTAGAGCACCTGACAAACCTTGGCAGGGATATAGGTGTGCACTGAAGGGTTTCTCCACCCCACACTTCTGGGTTTTGAACAACAGCATAAAGGTAGTCTGGGAATAGATGTATATGTGCAGATATAATCAGTGCGTGTACAACCTATAATTTATCAGTCTGTAGAATAGATTTCCTTGCACTGGAGTTTCTTCCCTTAGTTATCTGTATTGACTGGCTGTTATGAGGGATTATATAAACAAACTGCCAGGAAAATTACAATTCATTATTTATATTATTCCAGAGAATCCAATAATTTGTATTATGTATCTGCAGGTACCGTGTAATTTTTTCTGCTGGGCATATGGCAACATAGTCCTCATACTAGGTTGCTTCCAAGTTAGAAGGTAGTTTTATGGAAAAACTGGGTCCCTATCTAACTTTTCCAACTGCATCCTCCCCTACCCTCAGGCTTATATCATTTTTTAGTTACACGGAGAGAAATGCATGGAGGGCAGGTAGACAGCAGTGGCTGAATAGACTGAAGAGGGCCTAGGAGTGGCTGAGAGACCTGCCTAGCATGCCCCCCCTTCCCAAAACATACTTTGTTACGACCAGGCAGTTCTTACTGGCAACTTTTAAGTCCTATCACAGACAATTTCAGGTCAAAGAGATATTTCACTCATTATATGTTTTAAATGTTTAGCAGAGTCTCTTTTGATTTTGTTTGCCTAAAGAGTAGATTTTTCCAAGAGTAAATTTCATTTGTTGAGAAAGGATTTATGTACCTTCAGGCCTTGCTAATTGTATTTTTGTTATAATTTTGAAGCTTAGTTATCATCTCCTATGTAAATAATATCCTAAATTACTTCCTGGAATGGGTAGGGGAACTAAATGTTTATATATGTATTTTTTTTGTGGGCATAACTAGTCAGATCTCCCATCTGTTTGTCCTGCAATGATAAAAATCAGCTATCACTATAAAAGGCCCAGGGAACTGGGAGATAGAAGGAACTCAGTGTTAAGCACCTGCCATGTGCCAGGCAAAAAACAAGATGGTTTCTGTTAGCTCATTTAGTTGGTTACTAGCTTATAACTTAACTCAATATAGCTTTATGAAAAATGGACCAAAAATGTTTTGAACACTATTATAAATGTCTTCATGAGTATTCTTAGGAGACCCAGATTTTTCCCAGCAGATAATAATGTATAATGCTGAGTGAAAACAGGCAGCAGCCTATGTTTTGTACACTGCATGATGCCAATTTAAAATATATGCAAATAAATGTTGGGGAAAAAGACATAGATGGAAATATAGGTAATTATCTATGGTTATCTCTGAGCAATGGCAATATAAATGATTTCTAATTTTTTCTATATAGCTTTCTAGATTTTCTCTATCTTGCATGCACTTTATAATCAGAAAAATGTTATTGAAAAAAATACATGAACAAAAAAATGAACTTTATGTTTCTGAGTTCGAGAGTAAGCTCCCTAGGCCTATAAATTAACATCCAGAAAAATTAATATTGGTTATGGCCAGTTCTTCAGTTTTGGCTACAGGAGAAGGCTAATACGCATTTCTTACATCCTACAGTCTGTTGGAATGTTTCTATTGATCTCCCTCAGTACTTTTGTGATAAATTGCTGTACCTAATCTAAATGGTCAATAAGACTGACTTTGGAAGTGATTTGCCAAATTGTTTTGAGTTAAGACACCTTGGCATAAATCCTGAGAAGCAAGAGTTTTTCATAAATTCTAATAAACTAAATACTGAGTTAGAATTACATTTCAAACATTATTAAATGGTGAATTTACTACTCTCTTTTCCCAAGATTAAATGAGAATTTATGGTGAAATATAAAATTCTAAAGGCTACTGAACATTAGAGTAAAATGTGTTTGACTTTTTTGATCAAATACCTAATAGTAATCTATGTAATAGAAAAAATTATTGTTTCTGTATGTTAAGAGAAGTATTAAGGCGTACTTAAAGGACCATCTGGGCTAATTTGGGAATCAAAAGAAAACATAATAACAAACAGCTGATAGATGGAAAAGCATAAAGTCTTGGAAAATCTTGGATTTGGGTAATGCTATGCAATGGTTATAAGTTAATTCCAGTGTTTCTTAGGATAAAGTAGGTACTATGGCATCAGTAAAATAAATTGTGAAGTAATGAAGTTGAGTATTAAAAATTGACCAGTTTTGTATTTATGTGACTTTAGAGAAATGGATTGGTAAATCCCACGGATATTGAGAAACAAAAGATCTTTTTCCTTCTACTTGGAAATACTTTAAAAGGAAAAAGTATATAGTATCCAAATATTTTACTTCTCTAAAGTTCTGAAAGAATACTCAAATAAATCTATTCACTTTTGCTTTGGGGTAAAAGACAACATTTTAACCTCTAACCAGTATACATATTAATTTCTGCAAATGACAAATTAATTGATAAATCATCTTCTGTTGTGTGGCAGCGCATATGTGTACCAATAAATTAGTTTTTTTCCTTCTCTAAATACTAATGATGCACCTGATTTTTTTTATTCCTCCCCCCCTTAATTAATGTCCTTGAGTATCTAAATCTGTGCTGCATGTGGCTATTTAAATTTAAATTTAAATGAAATAAAATTCAAGATTCAGCTCCTCATTTTCACCTAGCCACATTTCAAGTTCTTGATAGCCACATGTGACTAGTAGCAGTAACGGACAGCTCAAATTCTAGAACCTTACAACATTATAGAAAGTTCTATTGGATTTCACTGATCTAAACTGTCAGGACCGGGCGCCTGGGTGGCTCAGTGGTTAAAGCCTCTGCCTTCGGCTCAGGTCATGATCTCAGGGTCCTGGGATCGAGTCCCGCATCGGGCTCTCTGCTCAGCAGGGAGCCTACCTCCTCCTGTCTCTCTCTGCCTGCCTCTCTGCCCACTTGTGATCTGTCAAAAAAAAAAAAAAAAAAAAACTGTCAGGACAATTTAAAAATTCTTGGGCATGTTTTCTGTATCTTACAGTATGCTCATGTTACCTCAATTACATGTTCCTCTTAGGCTGCTTCATTTTATTTTTCTGTTTTTCAGTTTAAAAGGATGCTTAATCGGGAGCTCACGCATCTCTCTGAAATGAGTCGGTCTGGAAATCAAGTGTCAGAGTATATATCAAACACATTCTTAGGTGAGAATAATAATTTAAATACAATTCTAAAGTTTTCTTTTGAGTTGTTTGTTTTTGGAGGTGGATTAGGACACCAAATCATTTTGGAAACCAAACGAGTGTTAGGAATTCAGTTCATTTGTTTTCATTTATCCTATCAATAATTTGAGTGTCTAAGCCTCTAAGGTTTGGAATCTAAGGTGACAAAGTACATTTTTTATCTTTTAATTTTATTCAGGACTTTGGTGATTCTCTGGATTAAAGTTGTAAGTTCCCAGTTTTTCCAAAGCACTAAACCATAAAATGTGTTTTACAGAAAGATCTACACATGCACTCAACAAATTCTTGTTAAATTCCAGACACTGCTGGGCATTTGGTAATGATAAATTAGAAATGGTCCCTGCCATAATGAGTTATAGTCTAATAAACACCAAGCCTGGTAGACTGATGAGGCAGATATAATACAACAACTAAAGCAAAGCTTGCTGATAATAATAATTGATAGTGTAGTAGACTGAGACACCACCCCACCCCCCTTCCACAAAGAGAAAATTCATTTAGTGAAAGTCATCAATGTGAACACATCCTTGATTTGAATTTACTTTCAAAACAAAATTGCTATAATATCTAATTAGCACTTTCACTAAAGAGACATTTATTGAACACATGCTACATGCAAGGATGAGTTAGAGGAGCTCACTGCCTTGAAATAGTTAATGAAAATATTGAGGCATCCAATGTCTTTTATTTGAAAACAACAATTAAATCTGACAGTTCCTTATCAGATGATACTGGAAATTTCCTGTGTTCCACTTGTTACATCATAAGCATTATCTCACTTTAGTATAGAAAATATAAAATAGCAAAATATAAGTCATTCAAATATACTGTTTGTATTCTTACATTATGACCCATTTCAATAAGCCATTAGGTTCACCCAGTGCTGCTTTTATAGTGTGTATGAAATTCCTTCCTCTTCAAAATAGGTATTAAAACTAGAATCCTTAGTTGGAAAGAGCAGTTTCCAAGACACTAAGTGAATTTCAAACAGGGACAGAGTTGATGAACAGTGGAAATAACCAGTATGTTTTGCTTTTTCCAAGTCTGCTATCATAAGTCTTGCAAAAAATATATGTGTGTGTGTGTGTGTGTGTGTGTGTGTGTGTGTGTGTGTGTACAGCATTCCATCCAATTAGCAACCACTGAATACATTTGATGTTAATTATTTTGCAGTGGGATTTATTTGCTCAGTTTTGTGTTGGAGGGTATCACAGTAAGTCCACATCAGATTATAAATACTCAACTTCTCTGAAAGAAGTGTTTCTTGGAAACATTTTCTGGAACATGTCATGATTAATGAAAACCTGTCCACTTACAGACATTATGATTAAAAAGTAGCAACTCAGGTAGACTTCACAATAAATGTAGAACCTTTTCTAAATTTCTTCAGATAAGCAACATGAAGTGGAAATTCCTTCTCCAACTCAGAAGGAAAAGGAGAAAAAGAAAAGGCCAATGTCTCAGATCAGTGGGGTCAAGAAGTTGATGCACAGCTCCAGTTTGACGAATTCAAGCATCCCGAGATTTGGGGTTAAAACTGAACAAGAGGATGTCCTTGCCAAGGTACGATGATTTTAAGGATTGTGGTCATAATATGTTGGGTTGCCTTTTAATGAGTTTTAATTCTTTCTCTTTTAAGTAGGTAGACTAGTTCATTAATTTGTGGGTTCCTTTTTCTTTGAAAGTGGCAAAGTACTTTATAAAGCTCTTTACAAATTATTTGAGGGTTATTAATATGTGGATTTAGGTGGTTTAGAGTATGTGTTTGTTGCTTTTTTACATCTCCATTTTTGATTGACCTTAAAGAGTTAGAAATATTTTATATCTTTTGGGTTTCAGGAGAATAGTAAAGGTTTTGTAAATAGATTTCATATATTGAAAAAATGCTTTGAAATTGATAGTCAAAGTATCTAACTACATTGTGTTGTCAAAGTCGTAAGGTTAAGCCATACTATTCAGTTTTCAGTACCTTTAAGTGGGTTTACCTAAAAGTTTGCCTGTACTTACCAGGTGCATCTGTTACATTTAAACTGAATCTTTTTTTTTTTTTTTTTTAAACCTAACACTCTTTTTATTAAGAGTTTTTATTAACACTCTTTTTATTAAAACGTTAAAGTCATTTAAATGAATATGTTTATTGATTTATATTCTTCTTCTGTTTCCTAATTTTCTCAATCTTTCTGTAACCCCAGGAACTAGAAGATGTGAACAAATGGGGTCTTCATGTTTTCAGAATAGCAGAGCTGTCTGGTAACCGGCCTTTGACTGTTATCATGCATACTATTTTTCAGGTAACGTGTTAAGTTCTAACACCTTTCCTTTATTGGGTGACATAATGTCTAGTCTGTGAAATGTGCTTGAGTCTTCTCTTCTTTACTATTCACCCTTTTTTGTTTATTTGATTTTTTTTTTTTTTCTTATTTGCCCCTTTACCAAGGGACAAATAGTAACAAAGTATGGAGTATGGGTCAAACAGAAGTAAAACAGTTTTGTTATTTTTTCCACTCCAAGAAGTCATGTGGGGAAATTGAAGCAATTCATTAAAGCAAGAGTTTAAAAATCATCTACACGATCCTGATTTGTATAGAGTGGAGTACGAACTAAAAAATGAATAAGCCCCTTGGTGACTAACCTTAGCATTTAATTTCTTGAATTGCTGTTTCTTGTACTGCTCTCTTTTCCATACCAGTTTCCCCTTCTTGTTGAGCTTTTGCCCCAGCTCAGGATTAGGATATAAATGAGGACTTGAGACTGTAGACACCCTGGGACTGGCATAGCATGTTCCAGCCCTAGAGAAAATGTTGAGTTTCGGTTGTTGTGATCCATTAGCTAAATCAGTGACACTGGGTTAAAGTTGCCTTCATGATTATCAGACACAGACACTTTGACAGTTGGCAGCTCATTCCTGACACCGTACCTCTTGAGGAAAGCAACATGGGCCCCCAGAAGGACAACCCTATCCTTGCTTTGTCCCCAGAGCCCCTGGATATTCTCAAAACGTCTCCATTTCCCTCTCTAGACACTACAAGGGGTGCTATTTCTATTTCTGGGTTATCCATAGGTGACACCGGTGTGATTTTTCTGTTAACACATCTATGGAAAATGTTTTTATGTGAAAACAAGATGTTAAGAGTATTTCCTTTCCTACAGGAACGGGATTTATTAAAAACATTTAAAATTCCAGTAGACACTTTAATTACATACCTTATGACTCTGGAAGACCATTACCACGCTGACGTGGCCTACCACAATAATATTCATGCTGCAGATGTTGTCCAGTCGACACACGTGCTATTATCTACACCTGCTTTGGAGGTAAATCTGTTTTCTAAAACTTTGAGATCACTAACCTGCCACTCATAAACATCTCTTAAACTTTTATACTGGAGGGTGGGTAGGGGAGAAAATTAATGGCTTCATTGGAAGTATGTTGAGTTATAGGGAAAAAATGTTGTGATTAATAAACAGTTCAGTCTTTGATGAATTTTTCAAAGATTGATCAAAGTTTTGGGGATTCATCTGTTCATGATACTGCTTCTTTGAAATGACCTAGTAGACATTCCATAAAGTATATCTAGCTTATTCGGTTTTAGTTAGTTTCTTTGAAATTTAGCCTGATGCCTTCTACATTTATATTTCAAAGGATGATATTATTTATAAAGTAGAGACAATGTTTTGATATTTTTCATGGAATTTTTCAGAAAGAAACACATCTTTAATTCTCTCGGATTTTAAGAAGTTCCAGTGAATGTTTATTAAGATAATTTGATTTCCTTAATCATTTGGGGGAAAGATTCTCTTTTGCTAATATATTTTTTAGTTCAGATTGTTTTCATCATAAAATTGTGTCAATATTTCATCATCTGAGTGAGTGCTTTTCTACTGAGGGTGGTTCCTCCCTATTCCTCCTGCCCTGACCCCTACCTGTCAGGGACATTTGATAATATGTAGAGACATTGTTGTCTGTCTCAAGTTGGAGATAGATGCTTCTGACATCTCATGCTTCAGGCCAGGGGGGTCCTGATACTACAGTGCACAGGATAGCCTCCCACAACAAAGAATAATCTGGCCCCAAATGTCAATTCTGCTGAGATAGAGAGTCCCTGGTTTGAATGAAAGAAAATAGTTTCTCATGTCATTAATTTTATGTACATTTTCAGGACATCCTTAAACATCTTAAATACTTTTAAAATAAGCTATTAAATATTTTGAACCTTCATTCTGTTTTCTAACACGTTCTAGGAAGTAATTTGCAATTTGTATATACCTTTCATTGTATTATTACAGGATGATAATGTTATCTGTCTGATTTTACAGGCTGTGTTTACAGATTTGGAGATTCTTGCAGCAATTTTTGCCAGTGCAATACATGATGTAGATCATCCCGGTGTGTCAAATCAGTTTCTCATCAATACAAGTGAGTGAAGTTTCTTTATTTTTGCAGAAAAAAATATTTTTCCTTTTATGTCTTAGAATGACCGAGCTTGTTTATAAACTTGGGATGTTTCCAGAGCTGTAATGTTCTTTTGGGATGTGTAAATGTGCATTTTATTGATCGTGTGTGTTAATGTAACCTAGCTCTGAAAATTACCGTTTTTATCCTATGAGGCTTATGTTGTTTGAAAAACATGCATTTCAGTACTTCTCTAGAAATAATGTGTTGGTAGACAAGGGTAATCAGAAGTGAAAGTTTGCAGAAAGATTTAGATAGTTACATTGTCCCTAAAGTTTTAAATAAAAACAGGAAAAGTTAAACCTTCCTCACTCTATGTAGGTTGTCATTTCATCCTCTTCAGAGGCTATGATTACTCTTTCCTCATACACCACCATGCCCAGCTCTGCTCTTTCCTTTTTACATCACATCTCTTTGACTTATTATCTCTTTTGACTTCTCTTTTATTTAAATATTTTTAACCATTAAATTTCTTCTCACCCATGACATCTCATCAGATAAGAAGTCAATACTTGGGATGCCTGGGTGGCTCAGTTGGTTAAGCATCTGCCTTCGGCTCAGGTCAAGATCTCAAGGTCTTAGAATCAAGCCCCAGGCTCCCTGCTCAGCAAGGAATCTGTTTCTCCCTCACCTCCCAAACCCCCCAACCTCTCTGCTCATGCACATGCTTGCCTGCTCTCTCCCTCTCAAATAAATGAATATTTAAGAAAAAAAGGCAGGGTGCCTGGGTGGCTCAGTGGGTTAAGCCTCTGCCTTCGGCTTGGGTCATGATCTCAGGGTCCTGGGATTGAGCCCCGCATAGGGCTCTCTGCTCAGCAGGGAGCCTGCTTCCCCCTCTCTCTGCCTGCCTCTCTGCCTACTTGTGATCTCGATCTCTCTTTCTCTCTCTCTCTCTGTCAAATAAATCAAATCTTTAAAAAAAAAAAAAAAAGGCATTACTAAATTAGGATATATGAGGAGTGGTAGAGACTGTTTAATATGGGGCATCTCTGACACACAGCTTCCTGGAAAACCTCTGTAGGGAATGTTTAGGTAGGCTTGCTTGAGCTATGCCTTTGCAAAGAGGTTTCAGTTTTACGAAATTTCTATTCTTTTAATATTTGAAGTGAATTGGTAAATGATTTAAATGTAGTATTATCTTATTTCTTCCTACTGTGGTAGATTAATGTTATAAATTCACATTTATGTACAAAAAGCAAAGTTGTTAGAGAATTTCTTATATCTATTAAAAATCTGCCCTTTTTTGCTATGGCATTGTGGATAGCAGCCTTCTCATGACTAAAGATGTTGAACTCTGTGGCGTCTTTTCATTCCCCTTTTATTCCCTATACTTTGCTGTAGCCAGATTTAAAGAGGCAATTTAAATTAGCCTCACTTTGAGAGATTTAACTCAGATCTTTAAAATTATTTACATCTATTTTTTATATCTCAATCGCCTTTGGACTACTCTATAACAAAATGCACCTCTGTGACTCATTTTCTATGTAGGAGCATTGGGAAAGTCATGGATTTCCTGAGAGGTGTGGATACTCAAGTACATTTTAGAAGTTTGGCTTATGAACTTATTAACCCAGGATTGGAGAGGCTAACATCTCATGTTCAGCTATCTTATGAGAACCTATAATGGGGTGCTTTCAAGAGTCATCAAGGCATTACTAAGTATTAACACATGAATATTTATACACATTGGCTGCAACTATGTGAGTTTAAAGCATCAGTGCTTAGGGTTGACTATCCTTGTGAGAAGGGCAGAGAGATATGGTACAGTGTGCTCTGTGCTGGCACTTTTCCGTAGCCTGACTGGATTTATTATTTTGATTTTTAAGCATGTCTTGATACATTCCTAATTTTACAAACACATAAAAATTTTGTTGTAATGTCAGCCTTTAAAAAAAGGCATGCAAAACATAGACTGGTGTGTTATCTTTGCATTCTATTCTATACAGTATTTTTGTTCTCTTATTGTAACATTACTAAAAAGAGGTTAGATTAAGAAGAGATTATTATCAGCTAAAACAACTGATAATAAAGTCAGTTTCCAAGTAATCTGTTAATTTTTTAAAGAAAAATGAGAACCTGCTCTGTTATTCTCTCCTGTAGACCCCCTAAGTCAAATGAGCTTAGTCTGGTACTGGAGAACTCTGGCAGGTATTAAGGGACCCATGGAGTATGAAATTTAAGCTAGCAAGGCCTCAGTCCACAGATGAATCTGATGCCCTCCAAAATTTGAGACTCTCTCAGATAGGTGAGATGAACAAATTTAGGGGACAATTATAAATACAGTGACAATGGCCACTGGTGTCTGTTTAAGGTCATTTTGCTGATGACCTGCCTGAGGTGGAAGGGTAACTAATCCTGCTTCTGGAAGTATTTTGTTATTCAGTGATGGTGTGATGATCTCCTTTCTCTGAGATCTCAGCAACACTGGGAGGTTAATAGTTCCCAGAGCATCTTTGGATTGCTAATAGTTCCTCCCAGGCGGGGTGTGAAAAGGCTGTGTTATTCCTGAGAGAGTGAATCAGCATCATCACCTGGTACATGAAAGTATCCCCGAGTGGATCAGGGCCCCAAGTCAGTATAGGAATCACTGTCTTAGTTAGCTTTTGACTAGGGATCATGCCAGCAAGCATTTTATTTCAGGACACAGAAGAGGTTAATATGACCTGTAACACAAGTAAGTTTGAACTTCACAGCATTCTATAAAGCAGTCTCTCCCATAACTTGCAATAAATAGCTTTGTAAATACTCTTATCAAAATTATGTGATTATTTTTAGTTTGCAGGAAATTCTTTATATGTAGATATACAGATAATAATTATATAATAACATATTACAGATACACAGATAGACAGACATTAAGTGTATGTTTTCTGTTTTTTTCATGGATTGATTGAGCCTCAGTGGTTCAGATTAGCACACTCTCAACTCTTACCTTGGAGCTGGTGCTGCCAACGTGTCCAAAGCCAAGGGTTGAATCTGTTTCTTATAATAGAGAATTCTAAAGACTTCTAATCTTGACATTTACAAACCCCTAGTTGGGAGGTCGCTTGTTCTATTTTAAGGAGGCTACAGAGGCACAGTGAGGTTGTATGACATCCTCTGTTGGAAGGCTCTGGAGCTCACCAGGCTGCTTCCCATTCCTGGTACTCCTCTGCTTCTTAGTTGTAACAACAGTTCCCATAATTTGTTCCACTTGTAGGAGCCAAATGATTTGATACTAATGATACGTACATTCATGGTAAATTCATGGAGGTTTTGAAAACAGAGACATCAGTTCTACAGGCAGAATTGATTAAGTTTTGTAAGAGATTTGGGGAATGGGGAAATCTGAGTAGGATTTTAAGAAGTTGAAATTCCAGTGTAGGAATCTGTATCAGTCTTTTTCAAAGATAGTACGTGTAAATAAACCCATAAAATGTAAATAGCGTCATAGTTTTGTTGGAACATGCTGGGGAGTATTTATCATAACAAAAGCATTTGACTTCACAGAATTATTTTCTGAAACAATGCAGCACTGTCAAAAGTACAGAATATATATAGTAATAAATTTTACTTGGAAAACAAGTAATTTTTGTTTATAGAAAAGATGCCTAAATTTTAGGGGAAAAGATTTACTCACATTGGTCATGTGTTTAAAGCATACGGCTTTGACTTCCAAGAGTAGAGACATTTCACTACATTAAAGTGGAGCTGGATTTAGCTACCAATATACACAGTTTTATTCCTCTAGTCTCATTTTAAAATAAGCTTTCCATAGTGTATCTGTGGATTATATATAGAATGTTATTCTTCTGCATAAATCTAACACTTTCAAAATAAGGATAACTTCATTTTTATCAAATGTGATTATATAGAAATACTACAGAGATTGATATTTTATTCAACAAAAAATACTGAGAGCCTTCTCTGTGCCAAACAACATTCTAGACATTAGGAATATATGGGTGAACAAGATAATGGCTTGTCTCTGAAGAGCTTGCCTTCCACTGGAAGAGACTCAACTGTAACACATGAATATCAGATGGGACTAGTCCAGTGGAGAAAAATAAGGCAAGTTACAGGCACAGGGCATTAATGAATTGAGCCAGTTTTAATCCTTTGTCCTTGGCAACTAGATCTTAAAACTACCACTTCCCTTCCCCATTTCAAGGAGAAATATCTTGTTCAGAAGTGCTAGGGAAACCAGACAACCATGCACATCACATGAATAACTTTTCGTTTTATACAGGGTCTTAAGTCTCTAAGCAGTCTTTGGCAGAGACTGTTAAGACTGTTAAGACTTGAACAGAGGGGTGCCTGGGTGGCTCAGTTGGTTAAGCGACTGCCTTCGGCTCAAGTCATGATCCCAGAGTCCTGGGATCAAGTCCTGTATCGGGCTTCCAGCTCTGTGGGGAGTCTACTTCTCCCTCTGATCTTCTCCCCTCTCGTGCTTGCTCTCTCTCTCAAATAAATAAAAATAAAATCTTAAAAAAAGACTTGAACAGAGATAATGACAAGTCTGGTAGAATATGATCAAGGCCAGATCAGTGATACAAAGTATTAAGCAGAAAGTGAGCGGTTCTGCCTGTAGTAACCAGGAAGGGCTTCATGCAAGAGGTTACTTGTACTGGGCCTTGAGGACAAAGAGGTTTCAACAGAAATGTTCTATAAATAAACTATTTTCTCACCCTCCACCCTACCTCCCTGTACCTTAGTGCAAACTTTGAAGGCAACTTCCTGGTAATTCCTGAACCTTCAAGGATTCTATGTAGGAATGCTGCGGTAGCATCTTTGGAGAAAAACTTCTCTGGAGATGCAGAGTCTTACCTCCTTTATATGTGTCTATGTGCCTTCAGCCCTAAAGAAGAGTAGAAACTTAAATGACTACCCCAAGGTTCAGTTGCTTAAATGGTAACATGTGTTCATTTAAAAATTCGTGGTCTTCACCACCTTCTTGTTAATAGCCCCAAAACTGGAGGGAAACGTGACACCCACTCGTAAGCAATCTTTCATCACCTTTCTGGCCAGTCTAGATTCTTAGTAAATCTCGGGAGCCAACAGCTTTCCACGGCAGGCTTGGTCAGGACTCTTGGACCACCCTCTGTGTGCAAGCGCATCTTTACATTGATTAGAATTGAGACTCATTGTTAGAGAATCCATACCACAGATCACCCTCCTCCTTAAAGTAATAACTCATCACCTTTTTCTTCTGCAGGATCCACAGCCTTATTTGCTTTCTTCTTTTTTCATGAGATATATAAACTAGCCCAGGTTTTTGCAAGCCTGAGTCAGTTCATGCATTAATGCCCCTTATCGCTATGCATACTTATTCCCTTCGAGAACCCTGGACAAACCCTGACTTTGTCTAGTCAGAAAACATTTGCTTTCCTTCCAGTTTGTATCTTTTAATAGGAATCTACTGTAGAAACCATAATACCATGTGTTAAGATCCTATAGAGATGAATTTTTATATCTATGTTTATCATCTATAGATAAATGTTTATAGTTTGAAGCTTTCAGAGACTATTTAAAAGTCAGACTTGACCAGATACTATCTGAATGAATGAATGAATGAATGAACACTATTGTTTTATCCCCCCAAAATAGACTATACACACCCACTTCTTGGTACTGTACACATCTCAGTTCCTGTGGTTTGGAAGCAAAAATTTAGATGTGTAAACTCCTATTTCTATAGTACTGGTAAATTCATAGGACTTCACAAAAGAAATATGTCTACCTCTCTTCTCCTTCCTGGTTCCTTTAAAATAGTCATTAAGTAACATTGGATATTTCTTTCTTAGAAATATATGTATTTCCCACGCATTAGTCAGAAAAAAAGATCAAATACATGTGCTTTTGGTCTTTACAGTGACCTAAGTGGAAACAGAATAAATCACAAATTGTTTTTAATGACCATCTTATGGAATCTTGTCTACTATTAATAGGAACTAGGAAAGAAGCAGGATCTTACTGCCTAAAACACACAGGTCCAGGGCAGTCATAAGGGAGAAGCAAAATCTTCATCACGGAGTTATGTAGGCAGCTGACCACCTGTCTCTGTGAAGTCATGAGCATTCAGGTGGGAAGGGCAGTGTATCTGTATTAGTGACTACCATGATACTCAGAAAAGAACATGGAAAAAATGAGTAAAACTTTGACTTCCAAAGCTATGCTATGGGAAAAAATGAGTAAGAGCAGCATGAACACATCTAGTGTTGTTCATTTATTCCAGACTGTTCTTGAGTATAATCCTAAACCATATGATCCTTACATTCTATGAAATGTTGGGAAGGTGGTCCACAGTTAGCAGGAACATGACAATGTATGCTGTTGATATGTTCCAGCTGTTAAAAATGGTGTCGTGTTCTGCTGCCCATGGAGCCACCTGTGGCAGATCTGGAGGGGAGGTTCAAGAACATTCGGCCCAACTCCTCTTCCACTTTAGAAAAATGACAGTGGAGATCGATAGAATGAAATGACTTATCACATATCAGTGGCATTAGAACTCATTCCTAAGATTCCAGCACCCTTTGCACTGTTAAATTAACTAGTGTATTCTGTCCGGGGCAGAGTCATATAATGGTAAAGCTAACAGAGATGTTGAGGGGACATTGCTTCTTAAACCCAAACTATGTCAGAATATAAAAAATAAGATAAACTCAGAAAAAAATGGCCTTGTTTATCTTCTCTCTCCTTTCTTTCTTTCAAGACTCTGAACTTGCCTTGATGTACAATGATTCTTCTGTCTTGGAGAACCATCATTTGGCTGTGGGCTTTAAGTTGCTTCAGGAAGAAAACTGTGATATTTTCCAGAATTTGACCAAAAAGCAAAGACAATCATTAAGGAAGATGGTCATTGACATTGTAAGTAGCTGATAAACACAAAAAAGAGAGTTGTAATGCAAGTGGTTTTCTAAAAGTGTAAGAATAAGATGAGTATCAGGTAAACAGAATCATGTGTTTCCAAACATCACACTGCCACTTACATTCAAGAAGCCACCCGTGCTGCCAGCAGTGATGTTCCCTACTAGGTTTGCTCCTTCCAGCAGTTTGGAGTTCAGAATAGGGACAGCTTGCCCTTACCATTCTAGTTTTGTTTTCTAAATTTCTCCAGTCTTGTGGCAGGCAGGGAAAATGACTAACAAAAGCAGTTAATTCAAATGGATTTTTTTCCACTTGTGAAATGGAAAATAAATTTATGTCAGTAGATGGTACTATTTATGGACATCCATGACTTGTATTTATGCACAGTATTCACAGTGGTTACAAGACACAGGAAAATCTCTGGTTATCAGAAACTTACTGCGTTAAGCTTTGTACCTACAAAGGTAGGAGTTATGGAGTTTTCTGCTGTCTTGGAACAGCAGAAGACTCACCAGGTTCTGAAGTATTCTGTGAACAGTGTTGAGTTCCTTGGTCAGAGTCCAGGTACCACTTTCTAGTCCAAGGAATGGAAAAAACTTTGGAACATGTGCTGATTTTTTATCCACAGATCTCATCTTTTTCATTGTGAAAAAGTGGTTTTTCACTGTGAAAGTGGTTGCTGCTGCTAACCTTTTGTATATTGCACATTCTCATCTGGGCTTTCAGAAAACCCTCAGCAAAACAGAAGAGGCTGCCCAAAGGAGTAGTAGTACAGAATTCCCACTCACTGCTGTTAGATGCCATAGTGCTTTTCCATTTCCTTCACGTTCTGCATTAATGTTTTCATATGCAAATTCTGACTTATCCTCTGGACTTTGTTACTTATGAAAATACTCTTTTAAGGTACTTGCAACAGACATGTCAAAACACATGAATCTACTGGCTGATTTGAAAACTATGGTTGAAACCAAGAAAGTGACAAGTTCTGGAGTTCTTCTTCTTGATAATTATTCTGATAGGATTCAGGTAAAACATCATTTGAATTTGTTCTGTTTGTGTGCACATGTGTCCGTGTCTAACTTTGATAAGATTTCTGTTTCCTTTCTTGCGTCTTACAATTTTAGTAATTTTAAGCAGAATTTTTTAACCAAATTCTTAATCTTGAGAATTAACCAGATAAAACTATTGGCTTTTTTAAATTTGCATTTTCATTTAAAAAAAAAAACTAATATCTCACAAAACCGACCATTTAAGCAGCTCTGAACTTAATCAGCCATGCACACATAAACAGTTTCTTATGATATTTTGGTACGGTGGAAGGGATATCATTGGGGGCTGTTAATACAAGTGTGAACCGTACATAGACACATCATAGTTGAGCTATTTGGAAGGAATCTTAAACTGTATGTATTTCTAAGTGTCACATTCATCCACTGTGAGTTTCTAGTTAAAAAAAAAAAAAAAGGCAAGAAGAAGGTGCTGAATAAAGCGTTTGTCACTTTTACTAGGTCCTTCAGAATATGGTGCACTGTGCAGACCTGAGCAACCCCACGAAGCCACTCCAGCTGTACCGCCAGTGGACAGACCGCATCATGGAGGAGTTTTTCCGCCAAGGAGACAGAGAGAGGGAGCGGGGCATGGAGATCAGTCCCATGTGTGACAAGCACAATGCGTCTGTGGAAAAGTCACAGGTGATGCATTAAACATAAAGTTTTGCAGAGAGAGCACAACTCCAACCTGAACATTTGATCACTTTTTATGCATGTCATATGGTATTTCATTGAGTCTTTAAAATTACTTTGTTTTTGACAGGCCAGAAAACTCTCATTCTTATGATTTTTATTCATATGGACATATATTCATTTCTCATGACATTATATTCATCCATTATGGCTGTATTCATCTAGTATATATATAGAGAGAATTTGTCTATCTGAACTCATAAGTGAATTCAGTTATATGAAGCCATATAGAGTATCTGGTCCGACTTCAGTTATCTAGATTCACCTATAAATTGGCCATTCTAAAATAAAGTCCAGGACTAATGCCTAAGCTCAACTCTGTAAACAAATGGAAATTGTTTACATCATAAACATACTCTTGAACTAAGAGTTCTTGCTAATTTTCACGAGTTGGTAACAACACTTTTATATGTACTCTTGCCTGAAGTAGTGACTATTTTACCACACTCAGGCTAGAAGTCTTCTGTTCAGTGTTATGTTTGTGAGCCATGTTACATATTTTATATTTTAATGTAAACTATCTATATATGTATATAAATTGATATCATTAGATACATAATCAGGTATTTGTGGGATCTAGTTCACCTTTTCCATTGTTTCTTAGTCCCAAGTCTTATGCTCAAACCGGAATTTTTTTTAACTAGGTGGGCTTCATAGACTATATTGTTCATCCTCTCTGGGAGACATGGGCCGACCTCGTGCATCCTGATGCCCAGGACATTCTGGACACTTTGGAGGACAATCGTGAATGGTACCAGAGCACAATTCCTCAGAGCCCCTCCCCAGCACCTGATGACCAGGAGGAAGGCCGGCAGGGTCAAACCGAGAAGTTCCAGTTTGAACTAACTTTAGAGGAAGATGGCGAGTCTGACACCGAAAAGGACAGTGGAAGTCAGGTGGAAGAAGACACTAGCTGCAGTGACTCCAAGACTCTCTGTACTCAAGACTCAGAGTCTACTGAAATTCCCCTTGATGAGCAGGTGGAAGAGGAAACAGTGGGGGAGGAAGAAGACAGCCAGCCCGAGCCCTGTGGAATAGAAGATCATTCTCCTGACACGTAACAATGCAAAGAATGTCATGCCTTTTCTTTCCTTTTTTTTTCTTTTTTTTTTTTTTTTTTTTAAATTTAAGTAGAAAAATTGTTTCCAAAGTGCATGTCACATGCCACAACCATGGTCACACCTCACTGTCATCTGCCAGGATGTTTGTTGAACAAAACTGACCTTGACTACTCAGTCTGGCGCTCAGGAATATTGTAACCAGTTTTTTCACCTCCATGTCATCAGAGCAAGGGGGACATCTTCACGAACAGCATTTTAACAAGATTTCAGCTTGGTAAGAGCTGACAGAGCGGAGAAAATCAACTCCACAATGTTTTCAAGGGAGTGTGGCTCATCGGGCAGCCCAAAAGTTGATAGGCTTTGGGGTTTCTTTTTTATTTGTTTGCAATATTTTCAGCAGAAAGAAGGCATTACACAGACAGAGTGAACCCATGGAGGAAGCAACATACGTGTCAGGAATAGGACATAGCATGAATCTGTTACCAGGAGGAAGATGAGCCACAGAAATTGTATAATTTTCTAATTTCAAGTCTTCCTGATACATGACTGAACAGTGCAGTTCAGTGAGCTGCACTGACCTCTACATTTTGTATGATATGTAAAACAGATTTTTTGTAGAGCTTACTTTTATTATTAAATGTATTGAGGTATTATATTTAAAAAACTATGTTCAAAACTTCATCTGCCACTGGTTATTTTTTTCTAAGGAGTAACTTGCAAGTTTTCAGTACAAATCTGTGCTACACTGGATAAATCTAATTTATGAATTTTACTTGGCACCTTAGAGTTCATAGCAATTAACTAATTTGTAGTGATTCATTGTTTTATATACCAATGACTTCCATATTTTAAAACAAAACCCAACTTCATGTTGCAGGAAACCCTTTTTGTAGGTCTTCATTTACTTTGCTTTCATTTCAGTCTTTTCCAATAAGCAGAGTTGCTCTCACTGACATTTTTTTTTTCAGTGTACAAAGTGAATATTTGTTCTGTAATACTTTGATGTGCATTCTGTCTAATGTGTCTTAAGCCTCACAAACAATCATCAGTTGGTGTTGTCTGAAGCAAGTAAGAGATATATAAATACCCTGTAGCTAAAATGGTCAGTCTTTTTTAGGTATTTTCCTACTTAGTGTCTTCTGGTAACTTTTTGCTGTGTCAGTAGACCCTCATTTCACAAGTGCATGTCTTTGTAATAACCCACACGTTTTATCCTCATTTTTATTGTTTTCACAGTCAGTTGTAGGAAGAAAACCTTTTCCCCTTGTGCTGGTTTATTCTTTAGTGTGTGTTTGAAACTCTGTCCATGTTCCCTAGATGGGGTCTTATCAAATATATCACCACCATTCTGATCGATGAAGAGAAGCAGGTAGTCTGGCTAGAGTCACCGTTCTTTTTGACCACAAGGCCATATATAATGACTAACTTTTATTCTTGATTCATAGAGAAGAGTTAACAGCTAGCTAGGTGATTTTTAATAATATTAGCAGAATATATTAACAAACACCACTACAACTAATGCTCTTTTGTTTCCATGATTTCACCATAAGATTAAGAACTATATGAGGAATATTCTTGAAAAGTGGTTTTAAGTGTAGCAACTACTCTTCCTTAATGGACACCATGTAATGTAGAAATTGCTTTCTCAGTAATCATTGGTCCGTAAGTATGTCTTATAGAGAAGAACTTTAAATGCACTGAGGGAAAGAAGTTGATGATGCCAGTGGCACCAGAGGTTTGGTAATGTAATGCCACCCTAAAATATTAGGTTGGGTAAAAAGATTCTACATAAGTAATAGAGATGGTTCTTGGCTGCATTTAGCACCAAGAAATGTATTATAATTTTTGAGATTACTTCCCAGTATTTACCTTCATTTGTCATCCTGGGGTACTTATTTAGTTTGGACTCTTCCCATTTCAGCTCTTAATAAAGTATTTGCTTTCTCTTTGAAGAATTTGGAGCCCAAATAATCATTTTTCACATTCATATCCAAGAAGTGAAATAGAGACCAAAAAGATTATCTGTCTAAATGGACAATAAATAGTCAAGAAAAGTTGTAACCCTGGAAAACATTTATATTTGGAATTTCTCAAGGAGTCTACTGGACTAATAACTAAGTCATCAGCCAGGGAAATGATCCAAAGCTGAAGATAGTCCCTATTTTAATACCCTGACATCCACAGGGGAAACTTTGGTAGAATAATTATGTAGCTCAGATCTGTTCTTAGAGAAGAACAGGAATCAACTAATTAATTATCAGATTTCCACTCTCCTCTTCCTGAAAAAAAATCAGTAATCTTTCAAATAATGTCCTGTGTTTAGCCAGGTGGTTTCACAAGAACATTTGGAAACTTGTTTAATTTAATTTGCCCTCGATGGAGGTATAGAAGAAAAGGCAAACAATCTAGAGCTTATTCCTTTATCCAAAATATTGTCATTCCCTCCTCTCACTAATGCTTGGTATTTCCCCCACAGAGTGCCTAAAATTTTAATAATAATAGGAAAAAAATTAAAGTAGCAATATATCACAAACTAATCCAGACCTGAAAGGTTTTGTAACTGGATTGAAAAACAAAGGGTTTTTTGTTTTGTTTTGTTTTCCAGTTTGTTGGTTTATAATGGTCACATGTTGTGAGGATACTCACCGATGGACAATCAAATTGTAGAAAAGGCATATATAATATCCAAGATACAGGGACTAATGCACTGTACAATCTGCTTATCCTCTCCCTTCTTTCTCTTTCCTTCTCTCTCGCCAAAGTGTGCTTCAGAATTATACACTGCTTTAAAAAGAACATCCTTATACAAGTGGCTTTATATTTCATAAAATGCCATAAGAAAATGCAATATCTGGGTACTGTATGGGGAAAAAATGTCCAAGTTTGCATAAAACCAGTACATTTCAGCTTGCAAGTTACTAAATACAATAATGCTGTTTTAATTTTATTTTCTTTTACATCACTTAAAATTCACAAGAAAATAATGTAGATAGAACAAATTGCAGACAAGGAAAAAAAAACTTGAATGAAATGGATTTTATAGAAAGCTTTACGATAATTCTTGAATGCATTATTTATTTTTTTGTGCCATGCATTTTTTTCTCACCAAATGACCTTACCTGTAATACAGTCTTGTTTGTCTGTTTACAACCGTGTATTTATTGTAATGTACATACTGTAATGTTAATTGTAAATTATCAGTTCTTATTAAAACATCATCCCATGATGGGATGGTGTTGATATATTTGGAAACTCTTGGTGAGAGAATGAATGGTGTGTATACATACTCCTTGTACATTTTCTTTTCTCCTGTAATATAGTCTTGTCACTTTAGAGCTTGTTTATGGAGGATTCAAGAAAACTATAAAATACATAAAGATATATAAATTTAAAAAACATAGCTGCAGGTCTTTGGTCCCAGGGCTGTGCCTTAACTTTAACCAATATTTTCTTCTGTTTTGCTGCATTTGAAAGTAAGCTAATGGGGTGGTGGGGGGCTCGGGCTGGGCGTTTTTATATCCAAGCTTTGAACCTATTGGATTTCTGACAATAGCTGGGAGATTTTGAGACCCTTCTGAGATACAAGCTTTTAAGCTTTTAGCTCTTGCCATGAAGCAGCACTGCTTATACAATGGTTCTTCTACCCATCTCTTGATCAGGAGCTACTTCAGGTAGTTACATCTGATTGTTGGCTTTTTTTTTTTTCCCCACTTTCAAACACTAATGGGAAAATACATTCTTGCCCAGTAATAACAAAGTCTTTTTTGGCTTCTTAAGCACATAGGCAGATGAACTTGATTTGAAACTAGAGCCTCAGGTCACATGTGTTGGTCAGTCGTTTATTCATCAGCTTCCTGTCATGTTAAGAGAATATGTAATAGGAAAAGGTCATTTTTTAATCCTGGAATTTTTCAACTAAGATCAATGAAATTTTCATTATATATGTAAATCCATAGATAAAACACAGTTTTTATATGATGCCAATTCACACAAAAATGATTCACCATTATCTAGAATTTGTTTCTGCAAAACTACTATGGCTTTCGCATTTTAAAAATTAGCCTTAGCATAATGGCCAGCTCCCAAAAGTTACGAAAAATTCCCACCGGGTGGTTTGGAAACTGCCTCCCACTCTTGCCCAGCCGTCGGAGCACCTGATTTAGCGAGAGATCCTTTTTCTAGGAAAAATGAGCCTCCTGTTATTTTATTTTATTTTTTTGACACAAACTGTAGATTTTAGCAGCCCTGGCCCAAAGGAATTTGATTACTTTTGTTTTAAACAGTACAAAGGGGACACTATAGTTATGAAAAATATCCTTACTGATTTTGGTTGTTTTTAATTTTATTTCTTAGGATATGTTTTCAGAGTGGTTAATTGTGTGTGAGCATTACAAATGATGATGATTCTTATAGTGGTTTCTTAGCCTCTCTTACAGCCCATGAGGATAGTACTGTACATCAATACCTTCATATGAAATTTTTATATGCAACGAAAATAAAAGCATGGGTTGATTCTGCCTATTTATGACTCCATCTTTTACAAATAAAAGATTATTCGTTTGAAATTGTAGGTGAGTCAGCCCAGGTTTTCCAGAGTGATGAAGAGGATGAAGTGAAATAAAAGGAGGATAGTGGCCTAAGTTAGTATTGATATGCTATAGATGAAACCAAGTTATGTTGATTCACCTTGCTGTAGAAGAAATTGCCCAAACTGTTTAGATGACCGCTAAGAATAAGTAGTGTTTTCTAAACAGTGTCAGGAAGGGGACATCTCCGCCTAATGAAGGATTCTGGTATCCCTAGTGACTCAGACATTCAACAGTTATTTGCAGGTACATACTCAGCCAATGACGAGGTTCTAAGGATTCAGCAGAGAACAAGACAGTCACTGCTTTCTGGAGGTCAGACTCTGGAAGGCACACAGGCATTAGACACTTCCAAACACATGTCATCATTAGGTGCTCAGTACAAACGAAGAAACTCCAATGCTGTGATTAAGC